ATACAAATGAAGTAGTAATTAAGGATGTAATGCAAATGATCTTCAGCTTAGTAACTCTCTGTAATTGAAATTTACTAAATTAAGTCTGAGATTTTTGAAACTAGGCCTTTAAAAAAAATTTCCCCGATTATAATTACCCCCTCTCCTCCCTCCTACCCACCCTTCAGTAATGTAATTAGTTTAAAATAAGATCCGTGGTAGGGCTGATGATGTGCTGCCTACTGAAATGCTGGCCGCCTATCAACAATCCCCAGGGAGTGAAGAGAACAGGGGCTCGCATCAGTCAGAAAGGCCGCTTCGTGCTGCCAAATATAGGACAAGGAAACTGGACACAGAGCTTGTGATACCGACTGTGCCGGGCGGGAGAAATTTCTTAGCTCTCCCTTCTGTTTCTTTCCCCTCTGCCCATAGAACTGGGATAAGCTATGGACCATTCAGAGAAAGAAGGGAATAGACTGGAGTAGGAGAGGAATTGGAATCTTTAGCGGATGCTGAGAAGGCCCCTGACAGGAAAGACAGAGAGGGCTTGGGCAGATCAGAAACCCGGCTGTTTTCTCAGAGGCCAGAGTGCTAAATCTCAATCTGTAATAGCCCTGGGACTCCTCCAAATCCTGTCCTCTGCCACCTGATAGGACCATCCCTGGCCTTAGCTCATTTCTCCTGATCTGCCCCAGCAGAGGGCAATGCCCGCCAAGCTCAGCCTGCCCAGAGCCCAAGAGGAGCTGTGTGGCCAGAGAAGGAGCCCCAGCAGGTGCTCCAGCCTCCCTGTTCTTTTCCCCAGTCTGGTTTTTGTCCCAAACTGGGACAAAGAAAGTGGGCTGAACATTGTCCTGGGTATGTTTGATCTTCTAGAAGAGCACATTGGCCTATTTCATTTAATTCAGATGAAAAGACCAGCTTGTCTTTGAGATCACACTCTAATTTCATCAGAGCTGTCATGTGAGAACAGAAGAGAAGCTACCCACAGCCTTCCTCCTTCCCTTCCCCACTCCTCCCCTCGCTCACCCCACCCTCCCGGCCCACGGCTTCCTGAAAACTGTTAGATCAACGCAGAAACACCTGAAGTCCATTGACCCTCACAAAGCAAAAGCCAAGGGCTGCCAGGGCCATCTTAAGATGCTGCATGAGAATAGCAACTCCCTGGCAAGCAACACAGACCTGAAAGAAAATGCGTTCTCCCACTGGCCCCCAGCCCTTCAAAACTGCGTGTGCGCACGCGCCTGCTTTCTGCCATCCATTCACATCACCATTGTTAGAAACTTCCATAAATGCTCAACTGAAGCGCTTCTGTCAGACAAGCAGCAGAGTTATTTCTGAGAGCACAGCAGGTGTATGTTCCATTCGCAAATCAGATGGAAAAGACAGACAATAGCAATCTCGTCTCTAGATAAGCCCTTGCTTAAAAGTTGCCCTGAGCTAATATGGGCATGTTGACTGTTGGATCCTGGTGCCCAGTGTGGGGCCTGGCACGTGGTAGGTGCTTGGTAAATATTAGCTGAGTGAATAAATGAATGACTCACTCTTCTTCAAAAACTTTTAGGAGCTTCTCAATGGTATGGAAAAATGACATGATTCTAAAATCTGGTATTGGGGATCCTGCAATCAGATGCCTGCCTGCCTTGCCCGCCTGGTCCTGTGTTGCCAGGCTGGAGTGCAGTGGCCCAATCTAGGCTCACTGCAACCTCCACCTCCCGGGTTCAAGCGATTCCCCTGCCTCAGCCTCCTGAGTAGCTGGGACTACAGGCACATGCCACCACACCCGGCTAATTTTTGGTGTTTTAGTAGAGACGGGGTTTACATGTTAGCCAGGATGGTCTTGATCTCCTGACCTAGTGATCTGTTCACCTCAGCTTCCCAAAGTGCTGGCATTACAGGCATGAGCCACCGCGCCCGGCCGCGACTCTGCCTTTCTAACAAGTTCCCAGATGATGCTGATGGTGCTGGCCCAGGACCACATCTTGCCCATATCAGTCATCCTCCTCATCCTGCATCCCACCAGTTGGTCAAGGTCCTGCTCAGCTGCTACCTTTTTTGTCAACAAAACTGGGCACACTAGCAAAAAATGCACCCCACCCTCCACTCACCTCACTGCTACACCCCTCTGTGCCTTCCAAGACACTTTGTATCTGAGCTATTTGGCTGTGTCTCCCTGACCTCAGGGGCCTAAAGTTCTCGTGCCTTTCTCCATACCCCACAGAATCTCATTTAGTACAGCCAGGGACATGCTGCCAGCTGGGGCAGATTCCATTCCATTCACTGGGACCTTAAAGAACTTCAGACTCCTTGATGCAGCACTCAGCCCGGGGGGTCCAAAGATGCAGGATGCCCAGAGACTGCCCTTGAGATTAACATCTGTTTTCTGGGTTATATTCACTGCTCACTGAGCCCACTCTGCTGTCCTTCCAGCTGCTGGCCTGGGGCATGACTGACCTGAGCAGACCACTGGATGTCCTCCCTGATCTAAACCAGTGGGAGGTTCCTCTCACTAATACACAGTTCCAAGTTCTCGGCTTGACTTGCTGTCTTTGAGACTCAGAAGGGAGGTGTCACTTTCGGTGGTAAGCCACAATATGTAACTCACAGAGGGCAGTTAAGAGGCAGGTGAAAGATGTTTTGCAGCCTGTTGAAATGTTAGTGACTAAGACCCAGGGGTGCTCTGAGAACATTCTCACATCTCAGTTGTGGGCACCTAAAAGGTTACTGTCCACCTGGTTCTCCTGCCACGTGGACTTATGGCATCATGCCCTCACATCCTCATGGGACCAATGGCAAATTATGGAACCTCAACTCAGGCTGCTTAAGTAAAATGGAAACTCTTTGCTCACCTTTGTGGCTTGGCCCAAGGTGACTCAGAACTGAAAAAGGAGGTACAGGAATCTGGGATTTAGGAACCATGTCTGTTCTCATACATGCCAGGACCCTCTCTCTGTCCATCCCATTCTCATCTCTGCATGTCCTTATATGTGGGCCTAACTCTCTCTTGCTGCATTCAGGAGAAAGGGTACCATGCCCACCAAGGCAGTGTGGAATGGAAGGGGGACTGTTCCCCAAAGGAGATAGGAGTGCTAGACATCCACTCCAAATGGTTAGCAAATGTTAAGTCTTTGTCACAAGTCGGGCACTCTGCTGTTTTACATATATGATCTCATTTGATCCCCAAGCTGACTCAATGAGTCAAGTATGGCATTTTCTGGTCTGACAAATAAAAAGGCATGACACAAATCATACCTCAATCCCTTCTGCCAGCTCCAGCGCTGGCTTTGGGACAGCCAGAAGATGTGACCTGGATGGGAGGATGCATTTCCTTTGGAAATAAGCATATTATCCTAGAAGGAGGGCCCAAAAGCCGATGCTTTAGCTCTGGTTGTCTCTCTATCAGTAGTTATGAAGCCAACACCATAAATGTCAAGTTGTTAATTTTGGGTAATTTAGATCTCTCTATTAAACCATCATTTCTCTGTGAATCTACATTGAAGGGAGAGAAGTCTCATCAAGAAAATCAAACGGGTTTCCTCCACTGTCTCATCCAGCCAAGACACATATCCTTTAGGATAGTATTTAAAAAGACAGATGATCCGATTAGATGAGGATGAGGCATGGGATTCTCCCTCCAGACCATCTGCCATTTGGAGATGTTTTCACGGATCCTAGGACCCTACCGAAAAAAAGGACTCCTCTCCAGCTTTATTTCTGTGACCACTTCTTGCCTATATTTTCTCTAAGAAGAAATGAGAGTTGAGACTTGCTCACAACTTTACCATTAAGAGAAAATAAATTATAACAGAGCCTGGTCCCCACCTGTCTGAGTGGTCCGCTGACCCACCAGCGGCTTGGCTCCTTGGCTGCTGAGTTTCTCAAGGCTGAGAGCAGCCCCTCCAGTGTTCCTACCTGACTGGGGACTTCGTGCAGCCACAGGCTCTGCCTCTTCTGCTCTCCATCACATCCTGACTCACAGCACAGTGGCTGGCACACAGCAGGTGCCCAAGAAGTGTTTGTTAAACAAATGAGTGATATCCCATTCTCCAGTGATGCCTCAAACCATAACTGAAATCAGTTGGCGACTCCAAGTCAAGGTCACTGTGCTGAACATTATAGTTATAGGCAGCAGGGACCATCCTTTCCTAGGTCTGAAAGAAGGACCCAAGTTCCTTAGAGACATCCATGGTTCTTCTCCCTGGTCAGTTCTGAGGGCTCTGTTTTTGGTTTCATCAATGCAAATGCCAACTCTTTATGTAAATATTGTCATAAATTCCTTCTCAATATTCTGCTGTGCATTTGTTCAATATAAATGTGCTGATCACAGGCTTCAAATCTGGGCAAAGAATATTTGACTAAAGTCAGACAACCAGAGCTCCAGCTCTATGACCACTAGCAAATGCCAATATTTACTGCACACTAACTATGTGCCTTATGCTTTATATGCATAATCTCATTTAATCCTCAAGACAATCCTATGTAAATGGTGCCATCATCATCTTGATTTTACTCATGAGGAAAGTAGAGTTTCTAGGGTGTAAGGACCTAGCTCAGTGCCACATAGCCACATGGTAATTACTTAGTTCAAGGTAGAGTTAGGACTCAAACCCATCTGACTGACTCCAGTGCCAGTGCTTTCAAATCAATCTGCAGCATTGCAAGTCACTTAACTTCCCTGCACCTCTGCTTATTTTCCTTCTAATGGGGATAAAAATCATCTTGCAGAATGAACATTGTAGACTGACGCATTGTGTACACTGTAAAGCACCACACACCTTTTGAGGTTAACATTGCCATGGCCCCCAATCAAAGCAGGGTGTGAGAAGCCAACACTAGATTAATCGGTGCTTCTCTTCCCTTAGGCATCGTGCCAGCGCTTCAGTAATCAGCAGACATTACCAAACACCTACTTTGTGCCATTCACACAAAGACGAATAAGAGGGTGCCCTTGCCCTCAAGCAGCCCACAACCTTATGAGCGTCTCCACTAGTTAATGAGGGTCAAGGCTGGATCTATACACTTACCCCAGATGCCCCCTTTGCTTGATGGTTCCTTGTTTCTCTGCCACCCCAGATGTCCCCTTTGCTTGATGGTTCCTTGTTTCTCTGGAAGAAAGAGTAAAAGAGAAGTTTGAGACTAATGGTTGGACCTCTAGGGCACAAAGAATAAGAGGGCAGATAAGTGGGAATAGAGGCCACCCCTCAGCTCTGGGGATCACAGTCCAGGGAGGAAGGAAACCCTCCTTCCTACAAACCATGGTATTACAGAGTGGTTAATGGGTTCAGGTAGCAGCTCCCCGCTTTCCTGGCCATGTGAACACCAATTTAAGGCTCAGTTTCCTCATCTCTTAAGGGGAGGTGATAATTTTGGTAACATGTGTAAAGAGTTTTGGTCAGTGTCTGGAGCAGAGCAAACGTTAGGTGATGTGTGACCAAAGGCGGGGGAACTGGTAGCTCAGGCTGCAGCAGCAACAACCTCGTGAGCCAGTGGGAGGGGAAGCGGCAGCTGTGGCCGAGATGAGGGGAAGCCACTGAGGACCCGGGGAAGGAGCAGCACCCCTTCCTCAGTGAAGCACGGGGACTCTGGAGCAAGCACCCGTGTTGTTTAAACAGCCCTCACTTGTCCTGTGTAGCCTAGAGAAAAGAGGGCCAAAATACCAAATAATGAAATCAAAATGTCTTTTCCACATTAAAAACTATTGTTTGTTTAAAGAGCAAGAACAGGTATTTGTGTCATGCTTTCAAATTCATTAGATTCTCAGAACAACCCCATAAGGCACAGAAAGAAATGACCACCCCCATTTTGCAGCTGGTGGGACTGAGACTTGTGAGCTGACACCGTTTGATGAAAGCGGTAGAACCAAATTAACACCTAGTGTTTGGTCTAGGGTTTAACACCCTCTTTCAGAGCAAACCTTTCTGGAGCAAATGGAAAAAAAATGCAGATGCCTGCCTGGAGAAGCTTTTAAACTTCCTATTCCTGAGCCCTCCTGAGATCTACTAAACAAGGATGTGCACGGTCCGAGGAAGCTCCCTCAGGGGAGCGGATACCATTGCGCTGGCACAGTGGACTGGCATCCTGGAAACCAGTAGCCACAACAGTAATGCTCCGTTTGTAGCTGTAAGAGGGTTTGGAGCAAACACCCTGGTTGTCTGCCAGCCCCAGGCACCCTCTGCCCACTCTTGCTAGGATAACTGCACTGGCCCGCTGACTGGGGTTATGCCTATCAATAGTCCCCCACCCAATCTACCCTCCACTGCAACCACCCCCTGCCTCACCCACATGCAAACCCCTGCTTAGCATTCTGCTCAGCTCACAAACCCCTTAGCCTGGCTGACAAACCCTGCCTGATCTGACCGCATTATCCACCGCTCTCTGCTCCCTAGCCCCCAAGTCTGCCTTCAGTCTCCAGATCTGCAGAGATCCCCTCATACCACAAAACCTTGTACTTATGCCTCCTGCCCTCTCAAATGCCCATGGCCTCAAACCCCACTGCCCTCCCCTTCCAGTTAATGCCTCTTCCATCTGATGGCACAGGGAAGTCTCGTCAGTCCCCAGTCTAGGGCACAGTCCTTTGCTACGTGTTCTCTTAGAGCCGGGATCCCTTCTTTGGGGGAATCTCATCTCTGATTACAGCTGTACATGGAGGAGTGAGTTTTTAAAAATTTAGTTCCATCTCCTCTCAACACAGAAGAGAGTTTCTGGAGAGCAGGCATCATGGGGTCTGCCCTGCTCATTGTGTCTTCTCACTGCTTGGCACTCAGTGAACATTTGTTGAATGATATCGCATGTTATTTGTAATGGGACAAGCCAGGAGCCCAACTGCCTCCACCTCCCGATTCCCAGGAGGCAGGACGTTTGGAGAGGCCAGAGTGATGAAGCCATTCTAACATCTGTGCTCCCGTCAAAGTGCAACATCACTAGGTTTTATTACCACGTAATGTGCATGGCCGACATTCCCAACCTTGTGCCGTCCACATCCCCTACCCTGGCCATGAGAGACTCCCACACCACAATCTCCTTCATCTCTCTTGGGTTTGAATTTTTATAAAGTGGAATTATTTTTGTGGTCAGAAAAGGCCACATAAATAATTTTTAGTCTGTCAGAACTGGGCAAGACTCTAAGGTAACATTAGTTCTGTCTCTAAAAATCAGAATTTGGAAGGAAGTATAAAGTATTTAATGTATGTCTATTGAAAGTATTTCAAGAAGCACTAGAAATTTATTTGAAGTTTCTCTTGGCATTCTGAAGTTGAGAAAAAGAGATAATGTCATGGTTCAAATATCGTCTCTGCCCCGGACACTGCAATGTGTTGTCAACTTTAAGGGATCTAGTGAAGAATGTGAGAGGCAGAGTGAATTCTCACAAAAGATGCAAATGCCTTGCTGGGCTGCTTGACGGCCCTCCCTGAGATAAACAAGGAGAGCAAATCCAAGAGCCATGGTTCTGTGTGGCAGCCCTCCTGACACCTGCTTCACCCCAAACTCCACCCTGCATAAAGGCCAGGGATGGGGTGAGATTATTTGGTTTTACACAGTATTACTTTTTAAAACCCTAAGGTTTAGTAGGTTGGTGGTTTGTTTTGGGCTGTGTCAATTCCCACATGAAGTGATTGCATTTGAATTTCACTTACCTATCTGAGACAATTCCTCACCTCTCCCTGCTGTGAGCCTATGTCTTAGTTTGCTTTGTGCTGCTATAACAGAATTCCACAGACTGGGTAACGTATAATGAAGGGAACTTTCTTTCTCCAGCTCTAGAGGCTGGGAAGTCCAAGATCAGGGGGTCGCATCTGGTGGGGGCTTTCTTGCTAAGTCACCCCATGGCAGAAGGGCAAAGAGACAGCAAGAGAGAGACAAAAGGGGCTAAACTTGTCCTATTATGAGGAACCCGTTCCCACAATAATGGATCCACTCACATGATAATGGCATTAATGCATGCATGAGGGCATAGCCCTCATGGCCTCATCACTTCTTAATACTGTCACAATGGCAATTAAATTTCAACATGAGTTTGGGAGGGAACACACATTCAAACCATAGCACCCTAGATTCTGGCCCAACTCTGGCTCCTTACTGGTGAGAATCTCTTTGATTATTTGAAATAAGGATCAAATAGCTGTTAAAGAATGCATGCTTTGGGCTGGGTCTGGAGAACATAGCCACGGGCTTTGCTGACAGAAGCAGAGTAGTTAATGGCAAAAGTGTCGGGAGACTCAAACCTGACTGGGTCAGGTGACCTCATTCCCTTTATCATGAATCTTACCACATTCAAGCAATTTTTCTCTCTTTACCCCCGGTAGGCTAGACCCAATGGGAACCTACCTGCTAACCTATAATTGAGATTTTAGCATTTCATTGGGGTTGGGGGATGAAAGGAGGTCATTTTAAGCATAATAAATTTTGAGAGTTGAATAAAATGTTACCTCCTAGATTCAAAGAAAGATTGGATAGGCTGGGAGATTGGCAGACAGATTTAAAGAAATATAGTGGGCTGGTCCACCCCTGTTTCTTCTCTGTAAGGCCACTGTATAGAAATCTGTAAGAGTTTTTGTGAACATGTGACCAGCCATTATTCCAAAATGTGTCTGCCACTTGATCATTATGCTGATGAATGGGCAGATGGATGGGTGGATGAACGGATTTACCCACAGTGGCAGACACTGTCAGTGCCCTGCCCATATTCTCTGTTTTCATTTCTACACTCCAAAACCTGCTTATTTCCCACACCTGCCACTCTGTCTCTTCAAGCCTTTATCTGGCTGGGAAAGCACATCAGGCCTAGGAGCCAGAAAAGGAGAGTTGCTGCGCTGGAAGCAGACTTCAGCCCATGATGGATGGGGATGTGGTAGATAAAGACCCAGTCTCAGTTGGGTGATTCTGAGGCATTTCTACACAGCAAGAGTAACCCCCAGTTGCCCTCAGTGATAACTGATAATGCACTCTTTTTTTTTTTTTTTTTTTTGAGATGGAGTCTTACTCTGTTGCCCAGGCTGGAGTGCAGTGGTGTGATCTCGGCTCACTTCAACCTCCTCCTCCAGGGTTCAAGTGATCCTCCTGCCTCAGCCTCCCAAGTAGCTGGGATTACAGGTGCACACCACCATACCCAGCTAAAATTTTTATGTATTTTCGTAGAGGCGGGGTTTCACCATGTTGGCCACGCTGGTCTCAAACTCCTGATCTCAAGTGATCCACTTGCCTCAGCCTCCCAAAGTGCTGGGATTACAGGCATGAGCCATTGTGCCCAGCCGATAACACACCTTTATTGCCTTTTTTCCTTCCCTGTCTCCTTTCCCATTTCCCCCTTAATGTTTCCTGGGATCACCTTCCAAATGAACTCTTGTACTCAAATTCTTATTGTGGAACATGCTTCTGGGGAACCCAAACTAAGACATCCATCTCACTGACTGCTCTGTGCATGTGACTGAAAAGTCCCCAGTGTCACCCTTTAGCCCTCTGCTTCCTAAAAACAAGAATAATATAGTTGGAAGAAAGGTGATAGCTAACTCACACATCATTGGATTAGTACCTAACCCTATCAAAGCACATCATCACCAGGTCTTATTGCCAAGCAATGTGGTGGCTGACAGTGTTGACCCTCCTGCCATCAGCAACCCCCATCCTAACCACGAGCAACTTCCAAGTTCCTCTTTAGCTCCATTGGCTTTGAATTTTTATGTGGCACATTGTTTAATCTGCACCTAATTGGAACAGTATTAAACTCATTCTTGATTACTTCTCTCTGGAAACTCTCATCTTATTAAGTATTTAACAGAAGTTCACATTCATTACTGAAGCCGATCAGGCTCTGTTATTTAATGAATGAAAAGAGGACTAATGCCAGACCCACAAACCCATTTTCCTGGCCAACCTTCTTTGACAATGCAGCTTTCCTTACTCTAAGGTTGTCATGTTTGTTAAAAGAACAGTCCGTTCAGCTTTTTTCTGATTATTAACGCTCTAAATTCTCTACAGATGCTCGGAATACCTGCAGTAATTTCTAACAACACTAAAGGAGTGGTTCTCAGCCATACCTGTGCATTAGAATCATCTGGGAAGCTTTTGTTGCAAGGGATTCCTGGGCCCCACTACAGACCAATCAAAT